AACCCATGTCATATCCAGGATACTCATTTTAAAATTAAATTATTGTGTTTCATAACAAAATAACAGAATCAGCCAATTTTAGGCTTAAAATGAATCTAAGCTTGTATTCACACCTGATAGGTCTGTAGACTCGGTTTGATTGGGAACCAAAATTGCAAGATTTGTTTACATTTTCAGTTGGTGCAGTTTGTCAAACGAACCAAACCCTGTGAACAACTGTTCCCTCCCTCGCCTGTGGTGGCGCTGCACCAAGAACCACTGAAGGATTCGACATGAAAACCTCAGAAGAAGACATGCAGCGCAACTTCCTACTTCACAAAATGTAAACAAAGTGAYGTCAGGTCTTAGCGGTTGTAGGATTTATTGTTTTTTTGGCAAATGTGCCAAACAAATAGTCTTCAACGATGAGCTCACCGTGGAGAATATTGTTTCCCCACACAAGGCGGATGAGACGGTTCCACGTGAGGTGGCGTTCATCGAGTAGGAGCACATCCAACTGCAGTGATGTCCACCTTATACAGACGTCGAGCAAGATATTTACAAAATATGAGTAACTTTATTACTGTTATTACTCAGAATGACCTGCGTTTTAGTCCGGTTCCTGCTTTTGGAGCAGTTTTCGGTCTGCTCGGCATTCWCACATGCAATCAAACTGCACCACATTTCACTTTAATCGAACTGAGACTTGGGTTTAGAGGCGGACCAGAGATCACTTTTTTCGGTCCAAACCAGAGTTTGATTACACGTTCACACTTACCCAGACTTTCCAGGCAAATCAACTAGAGTTTGAATAAAGCGGACTAAACAGGGCTGGTGTGAACACACTCTAATTTACTTAACACAGAAAAATCTGGTTTTACCCCGAGTCAGTGTTGAATGAATGTACARTCACTGAGAAATAGTAAACCTCTGGTGTGAAAGGTTTTTGTTGCCCAGGAGAAACACAAGAGGTGAGAGAAAACAACTAAAAGAAAACTTGTTTTCTACAGAGGTTTGTCTGCAGCTCACTTTATTGCTCAAGTTGCTGCATTTCTTTATATTAGCAGCTGTAATTTAAACTGAGACATAATCCTTTTTATGTTCAGAAGTGTGCAAAAATATAAGAATGATAATGAGCTTTAATCTGTTATTTTTATTCATTTTTATTTGTACAAATACCTTCACCCAATAACCAGGAAGATATGATTTGTAAATTTTCAGTGACAAAAGAAATCTGTTGCAGTTTTTTTCTGCAAATGTTTTACTGAAAACACATTATGATGAACAGAATCCAGTGTATGACGTTAACAAAAGTTGGTAGAGAAAACCAAAAATGTACAAATGAGAACTTTATAAAAATCCAAAAGAGCAGCCTACAAAAATAAATATATCTATTTGATATACAGTTTTTATCTTCCTTTTTTAGTCTCTACATTTCATTCCTAACGTCTGACTCAAACTTTTATTTATAAGTTTGCTATTAAAAATAATTATTAAGTGTGACGCTGAGAATGACACTAAGTGGTTTATGTACTCAGATCAGCTTCCAGTGATGGATGTAAACACCATAAAACATGAAGGTTAAACCCATTCCTGCCTGCTGAGAAGTGAAAATTAACGAGATTCAGCTGAGAATGAGCAGAACATGTACACACGTACACACACACGGACACACACACACACACACGTACACACACACACACACTGGCACTAACCTGCGTGTGCGAACTTGTACCATGGAGAACTGCGGACTGGTCTCAATAACAGGAGTCTGTTTCTTTTTCTCACTGCGGAGCTGAAGAGGAACATAAACAGACATCAACACAGAGGAGGGAACGTTCGCTGCTGCGGCGCCATCAGTCACATCAAGGTTTATCTAACCAGCTGGTTACAGTCGTGGAGCCCGTAAAGGCGCACTCACAGCGTTCTGTTTCTTCTGCAGCTCCTCCAGGATGTCCACCAGGTTCTCATCGGCAACATCTAAAGGCGTCTGTCCCTACAAGGACATCGGCAGCGTCTTATCAGTTGGGACACGAGACTTGGCTTAAAAAAAAAAAAGTGACTTTGTGGCATGTAAAGGCCGTGTTGCTCTCACCACATTGTTGACTGCAGCCATGTCGCACATGTGGTCAGCGAGCAGGGCGCACACCTCCTCCTGCCCCCAGTGAGCGGCTGCGTGCAGCGGCGTCCAGCCGTCTATGTCCCTGCTGTCCACGTTCACCCCAGTCTGCAGCAGTACTCTGCACGAGGGAAGGACACGTAATAAAAGCTGTTAGACACTAAAACAAAACCAAAAGCCCTCGTGGCCCAGGGTGCGTTTGGGACCATTCTCACTTCAGGACTTCGATGTAACCTTTGGCAGAGGCGACGTGCAGAGCCGTTGCCTTGGTGTTAGGGTGAGGCCTCAGGACGCCACCGCCCTCCTTCACCGCTAAGGCGTCCTGGAGCATGATCCTCTCCTCTTCTTTTCGGGCTTTGTCTACGTCTATACCTGAGAGACGTGTGTGAGACAAAAAACATGAAACCCTGACACATTTCTAATCAACCAAAATTCTCAAACCTATTTTCACTGCTTTCAACACAAAGTAAAAACTAAATTCTCTGCTGATTTCTTACATGTTTATTTTGTGAGCTTTTTTAAAAACATGATCAAATTTTGCTGGTATTTATTTACAAAAACATGGAGAAAACAACAAATGAAAACCTATAAATGATGGTAAAGTTAAGACAAAGCGCACATTTCTAATAAATCTGTCCTTCCTATAAATAATCCAACTTCTAATCATTTATTTAAACACTTGAACAGAATAGATTAAATCTAATTACTAAATCAAATCACTGACTGAATTGAAATATTTCAATGTGCAATAAATATTTATCAAGTGAAGGCATCTGATTCAGACTCTACTTTTTTTTTAGCACAAGCTGAAGATAACATGCTTGGTAATAGAAAAGTCAAATAAAAATGCTAAGTTAATGTCAAATCTTAGTTTTCTATAACTTATAAAACTGCCAATTATGAAAGACAAACTGGAAATAAAGTTATAGACTGTTGTGTTACAATTTAACGTTTTAAAATATAATTTTTTGATGTTTTTAAGTCCAAGCATACATGAAGACATATACAGTTAGATCCATATTTATCTGGACACTGACACAAAGTTTGTTTTTTTACTTGTTTACTAAAACATATAGTTATATAATGTACATGGACATAAAGTCCTGACTTCCAGCTTTCATTTGAGGGTATCCACATTAAAACTGGATGAAGGGTTTAGGAGTTTCAGCTCCTTAACATGTGCCACCCTGTTTTTAAAAAGAACCAAAAGTAATTGAACAATTGTCCCCAAGGCTATTTCATGGACAGGTGTGGGCAATCCCTTTGTTATGTCATTCTCAATTAAGCAGATAAAAGGCCTGGAGTTGATTTGAGGTGTGGTGCTTGCATTTGGAAGGTTTTGCTGAAAAGAAAACCTGCAGTCAAAGGAGCTCTCCATGCAGGTGAAACAAGCTAAGCTGCAAAAACAGAAAAAAACCCATCTGAGAAATTGCTACAATATTAGGAGTGGCAAAATCTACAGTTTGGTACATCCTAAGAAAGAAAGAAAGAAAGCACTGGTGAACTCATCAGTGCAACAAGGTAGGCATATCAATATCCAAATCTACCCTAAAGAGAAGACTGCATGAAACTAAATACAGAGGGTTCACTGCACGCTGCAAGACACTCACAAGCATCAAGAATAAAAAGTCTAGACTGGACTTTGCAAAAAAAAACCATCTAAAAAAGCCAGAACAGTTCTGGAAGAACATTCTTTGGACAGAAGAAACCAAGATCAACCTCTACCAGAATGATAGAAGACTCAGAGGTATTCAGAGCCAAACTGTGTGCTCAGATCCAGACAAACTGACTGTCGTCGTTTCATACTACAGATGGACAATGACCCAAAACATAAAGCCAAAGCAACCCAGGAGTTTATTAAAGCAAATAAGTGAAATACTCTTGAATGGCCAAGTCAGTCACCTGATCTCAACCCAATTGAGCAAATTTCACTTGTTAAAGACTAAACTTCAGACAGAAAGGCCCACAAACAAATAGCAACTGAAAACCACCACAGTGAAGCCTGGCAGAGCATTAAAAAGGAGGAAACACAGCATCTGGTGATGTCCATGAGTTCAAGACTTCAGGCAGTCATTGCCAACAAAGGGTTTTCAACCAAGTACTAGAAACAAACATTTTCATTACATTTATTTAATCTGTCCAATTACTTTTGAGCCTCTGAAATGAAGGGTTTGTGTTTAAAAGATGCTTTAGTTCCTCACATTTCTAAGCAATCATTTTGTTCAACCCACTGAATTAAAGCTGGAAGTCTGAACTTCAACTGCATCTGAATTGTTCATTGTGGTAATGTTCAGAACCCAAATTATGAAAATGTTGTCTCTGTTTAAATAGATATGGACCCATGGTAAATATACATCAGACATATATACTTATGAAGTCACACAGCATGAATTGCAGTTAAACAACTTTATGAATTACTTTTCATAATTTTAGGTCAGTCCGCTGAAAGTCATTTTAACATGTTCCTATTTCAGCCCAAGTTTATACCAACAATAAAGATACATCAGTGATAAGATCCTGCTTTTAATTAATCAATCAATTAATCAATTAATTAAACTAATTTGGGTAATAAATGAATGTTGTTTTTGTTAGCATGACAGCTTCAAGTCATATTTCCATCCATGCCTCAAAAGAACAATCAGGTTGTAAAACCACGTGTCACTGCTGCCATTTACTCCACCTTGTTTTTTGATTTCAGCTCTGAGGAGCCGCTCCATGACGTCTTCTGAGGCCACATCTAGAGGAAGCTCTCCTTCGCTGTTAATCACCCCGACGTTAGCGCCGTGTTCTATCAGGTATCTTTAAAGAAATATAAGCGTTTTTGTTCATTGCCCGTCAACGCTGTCACAGATCCAGAAAATGATAAAACCCAGTGACATGTGCAGGCTGTGGAGCAAGGTCAGCACTCACTTAGCGATCTGGATGAACCCACAGGAAGCTGCAGCGTGCAGAGGAGTCCAGCCCTCGTTGTCCCCTCGGTTAATGTCGCTCCCGTTTTCCACCAGAAACTGAACCATCTCTGCGTTTTCATCAATGCAGGCCTGAAAGGAGACACGCAGACACACCGTGGGGTTACTACACAGCAGAGAAGGTCTCTGACTCACTTCACTTTGGTTTATAGTCCAAGGCAAAACTCCAGACATTTCCAAAACCTATTAGTCTCCACGAAAGCACCGAGGACTAAAAACAATGACTACTGTGTCTACTTGGAAGGACTTTTCATTAAGTGGGCCGCTAAAAGCCCTCAAGTACTTTCCAAAACAGTCGTTTCGTGGCCTGAGTGGAACAGCAAATCTGTTCAACAACTTCTCATGAGGCTGAGTCAAGCAAAGATCTCAGCGTGATCCAAGACAGGTTGCAAGATAAACCATGTGAGGATCTCATCATGGGATTATGCTTATCCTGGCTATTTACTAGGGGAAATACTTACACTGCCATGAAGTCATTTAGTCTCTCACACATTAAAAAAAAAAAATCATTAAAACGAGAAAATGATTGGTTGCACTGGGGGAAAAGGTCAAGTCTCCTTTAAAGAAGTGTGGAGATTTTTAGTTTGCTCTTTTTAAAAGAAACTAAATTAGCTGTGAAAACATGAAAAACATTAAATAAATCTGCATATTCAGTTTTAAAGTAACAATAATGCCCCTTGAGGGGGGAACTTTGGATTTACTTGCATTGACACAGATGAGCAATGATATCTATCTGAAAATGTAGATGGAGGACAACAGAGCTGCTTCATGGAAGAAGAATCTCAGCTTAGCCTGTTAGCCTGTGCGCTAGCGCAGATGCTATATTGCCTTACATGTATTAGCTCGGTGCTAACACRACAAACTAACAAGCTAAACTGAGGTCCTCCATCCATATTTTCAGTTGAGAGCCAATCATCAGATATTGTCCAAGATTAACCTTCAGGGTGGATTTAGCTCGCTAGCAGGTTCGCACCGAGGACCTAGCCACRTCATCATTTACCCAGAATGCTTTGCGTGAAAATAAAATGGCCCCGTCCGTGTAATATATTTTTAAAAATTTGGTTGAAAAATTATAAAAACTGAACAGCCTACAGTAATTTTACAGTCTTTATTTTACAGTTAAAATATATGTTTGTCAAATAAAGTCTAATGTTTCAACTAATCAGGGATCTCTTTGTGCCTCAGAAGAACTTCTTTCTGTTCTCAAACAGGCACAAGATAACAGTGGAAATGAGAGATTTTATAATCAAATTATTTGCGCTCTTATTTAAAATATCTTTACATTATTAGCCCTGATGCAACTTCAAATAAAAAGAATAATTTGAATAAAACAGTAAGAAATTGGTACTTTTTAATGCATTAGGGAAAACCTAAATAAAATTGGGCAACATTAAAACCCAAATAATTCATTTGTTCAAACAGCAGCTGAGTCTTTTTTCTTTAGTTTGTTGTCGAATTGTCAGAGAACCGACCACACAGGAAGTTCCCTCACTTTTATAACCCTTTAAGGACTGGTTAAACAAAAACAAACAAACAAACATAAATAAACAAATAAATAAATAAATAAATAATACTATCTGGAATTTGAAACTCTTGACCTTCACTTAGCACTAAATAGAAAGATTAAAGCTACAATAGCTGTCAAATATTCCATTTGGAAGGTTTTTGACTTGACATATTTGTGTATATTATCTCATGATGCAAAAATATATGCATCATTCACTACTACACGTCTAAAATACTATATTGGAATAAATGAGTAAATCTACCAGTGTTGTGTTTGTTGCCAACAATTACAAGTCTACGTCAGTCTCAGTGCACAACTGATATTGTGTTGGGTGTTAAACAACCATTTACAGATGTACACATTGGGCCTCATGCAAGAACATGTTCGTATTCTTATCCTAAATTTCTGTTACTTTTGTTCGTACAAAGGGTTCGTACGAACATGTCACGTCAGATTCAACAAACTCTTCTATCTTCAGGAAAAGTGTGTAAATGAGCTGCATAAACTGATGAATGTGTATCAGCTGCTCGTGCATGGGTAGAGGGGATTAGCTTAAATACCACCCCAAAAACACCATATAAGGCTACGTTTCCTGCCCCACATACCAGGAAGTGTTCATTCATAAATGACATCGCAAAGTAAAAAAGAAGAACTTTACGAGTTCGGAGATTGAAGTCCTGCTGTCAGAGATCGAGAAAAAAAAGTCATTTTTAGCAGGTCAGACCTGCTAAAGCCAGGGAATGAAATGACGACTGCTGTTAATGTCGTGTCTCCTGCGGGTCGTTACAGTCACAGAAATAAAAATATAAATCATATTCATCTCTCTCTGTAGTCCTGATCCGGTTTTTCTTTGGTCATATATTTTTAATTTAAGTGTAAACACCTGTGTTACATAATTTTCATTTATTCAGGAGAAAAGCAGTCACGCACCACTACCCCCCACCCCGGCCTGACTGTCTCCCCCACCTCGCCGTCGCAAGTGTCAGATGCGTTTCCGAAAAAATAAGCACTTTAAAATGTCTCCAAACTTCAGTTAATGCATATTTAAGTTGGTTTGTAGTTTGAGATCTTCATATTAATATTGTAGTGTTATACAACATTAAAAGCCAATTTAATTCAATCTAACCAATTTATGTCGTTAGTTACATTTAAAATCTAATTCCAGTTCAAACAGAATAGCCTCTTGTCAACATAATAATGGAGTGTGATTTATTTTCAGCTCTAAATATCTTCAAACTAACGAAATATAAAGTTATTAGTGAAAAATCTGTCTGGATAACAGCAGACTGACTTCTCGTAAAATATACGACAGGTCTGGACCACTAGGGAATTTTGTTCGTATCTGAAAATAATCTTACAATACGAGAAAATTGGTGAATGCCACAAATTCTCCTGAATCACTCGTACGCATAACTTAAGAACAAATCTGTTCGTACGAACGGTTCTTGCATGAGGCCCATTGTGTTAGAAGCATAAAAAATCTAATTGAAAACATTGACATTGGCTTTAAGATCACAGATGTCATGAGCAGAATGTGGACATCTGCAACAAAAACTCAGAGCGATCCATCAAACTAAAGTCAAAATATTTTTATTATAAACCACAAATATAAACTCTGTGGTAGCCAAAGAGAAGCAGAGAAATCAGCTAATAATAGGGATCATCCTCTGGGGACATTTCACAGCTAAAAWAAAACATGAGAGAGAGATTGATGCTTCTGGGGTCCATCTTCAGGAAACACCATCTCCTCCTGAGGATCTTCAACACTAACACATCCACTCAGGCTCTGTCTCAAAGACCTGCCAAACGGGATGGAGATCAACCTCCTCAACTTAAATTAAAACAAAAAAGAAATGACTGCATTCAGACCATCACATCTTGCTGCTTTCAACAGCGATATTAGTTCGGCTGCCAGAAACCTTTGTGTGATTTCTGCCTCCAAATTTAACTCAGTTTTTCCAACTACGCCTCCTCAGTGAAGATCTACATTCCACCAGTTAAAAACAGTAATTTATAGCTTAGTTACAGCTCGCCTGGATAATATTGTAATTCACTCTAAATCTGTCTCAGTCAACAACTGAGTGGCTACAGGTTGCTGCAGCTCGTCTTCMTCTCCGTTTCAGGATTGATCCTGTTTAAAGTTTTATTGCGTATTCTGAAAGTCGTACATCTTCATCTGTCAGAACTTTGACAGCGTCAGACAGAGCTTCACAGACCAGCTTCTTTAACACGTTCACAGAAGCAGAACTACAGGTGACAAAGCTGTTTTTTTTTACTGTGTTGGCCCCCAATCTGTGCCCCCCCCCAATTTGTTTTTTTTTTTAATTAGAGCTGCTCAAACCATCTGTGATTTTAAACAAATGCAGAAATATGTTTTCATTGTATTTTAGGTAGTTCAGCAGGACATCTGGATTGCCTATTAGTTTGTATTGATTTTACAGTGCAAATGCAGTTTATTTCACTTAAATACTGTTGTTTAAGGAGGTATGTTATTGTAATGTTATTGTATTTGAACTTTGCATTGTTGGTCACCAAGAGTTGTTTTCAAAAATGAAAGTGCTACAGAAATAAACTTTGATTTATTGAATAATCGATAAATAAAATAATTAATGTCTTTGTCTTCTTTTTGTTCTGAGTCAGGTCACGGGGGCAACAGCTTGAGCAGGAAGACCCYCTCTTTCTACAGCCACCTCATTCAGGAGGACTCCATGATGTTACCAGGCCAGCCGAAAGAAATAGCCTCTCCAGCGTGTCCTGGGTCTCCTCCCAGGAACATGCCCGAAAAACTCCCTATGGAGATACGACGAGGCGTCCTTACCAGAAGTCCAAACCACCTCACWTGGTTTCTACCGATGTGGAGGAGCAGCGGCTCTACTCCGAGTCTCTCCAGGATAACTGAACTCCTCATTCTCTTGAGGGAGAGAAACCCCATTTGGACCACCTGTTTACGAGACCTCGTTCTTTCGGGTACTACCCAAAGTTTGTGGCCACAGGTGAGGGTCGGAATGTAAACCGACCCGTAAACAGAGAGCTTCACCTCAGACCGGTACAGAGTCCGCAGTGCTTCGGAAGCTGTAGTGGTCCATTCCACCCTTTTCCAATCGAGGACCACTGCCTCAGATTTGGAGGTACTGATCCTTATTCCAGCTGCTCCAGTGAGAGCTGGAGATACAACAACGCATAATGATGATACTTTTTTCTTTTAATTGCAAAATTCATTACAGTGACGTTACAGCATGACGTGTCTGTWCTCTGCACCGGACCTCATCCATCCAGTGTTACTTAAACATCTAAGCAGCTTTGTTTTTTGGGGTAAATAACGGGGGGCTTTTCTACCTCAGATAATTATTCAGACAGCAGTGGGGGGAACACAACTAAAAAAAGGGTTCACTGTAAAACAGGAAGCTGACGGTTGTKATAAATCCCACAACAGTTTGAGACAGAAGCCACACAGCAGAGCAGCAATCACCCCAAAAAGTGGGCGCTCCGAGCTGAATGAATGAATGAACAGAGGGGACTTCCTGCACCCCCACCCCTCTCCCCTGCATGCTTTGGAGGTGCACGCAGAACCTCCACAACCCCACCCCCACTTCATCAAGTGACTCATTGTGGAAATCGCCTCTGACAACAGCGGTTTGTGCAGTTTTRCCGAATGTTTTCCATTTCTTCACCCACAATCCCTTAAGTCTCGTCCACGAAGAGCTGGCAAAAGAAAGGAGGAGAAAGAGGGCAGGAGGAGGAAGAGGAGGCGGGTGTTGTGGAGAAAGTCTTTAGATGGAGACGATGGAAAGTTTGGAGAGTGCGGGCCTATATTTAAATCACGTTTCCAAGCAACTGATGAGTAACAGAGGAGAGAGGGATGGAGACCACACTGGATGTATTAGGGTCAACCACTCAGGATGGGTTTTCCCCTTAAATCTGGTCCGCTGAAGCACATCTGAGCTCTGAGGGGAAAACTGAATGAAAAGATGATTTAGCTGTTGGTAAATGTCATGTATGAGTTCATCTAGCCTTGCCTTTCCTCAGCGTGAGGCGACAGCAGTGTGTTTGACAGCCTGTGTCATGAATGTAGAGGAAATGCTGCATCACTGAGGGGACAGTGTGACAGTGATGCTGTCCAGACTCTGTGTTATGACTGAAGTTAAGAGGGGAGTCTGCTGCAATAAAACAACATGCTCTAAAGAAGAAAAAAATAAAAATAAATTATAAATCTGCAGACTAGAATGCAAAAATGTAACTTAAACCATCTTCTTTTTTCCATAAAGTAGCACCCACAAAATTAAACTTCTTAACCAGATGAGGTTTTTTGTTTCTGTGACTCCACTAGGGAGTGTCGATCCCAATCTTGCCAGTCCTAAAAAGTATAAAAATAATCCCCACAGCTCTTATATGCCTGAAAAAGAAGCTTGTAACTTTTAGAGAGGAAAAACGAGCAGACGCGTCAACTAAACTAAAAATTAACTAAAAGTACCAGCGTTCACAGGCCAGATTAAACCTAAATGTGAGGGTGATGGGTTCTGTTTAATTTAACACTGTTGTTTGTCTTGTTTGCTACATTTTACCTGCAGCATTTAAGGTTAATGCCGCTTCGCTGGGACCACTGAGTGGACGTTAGTTGAGCGGTAGTTAGCGGCTACCCTCTCTCTGCGGGTCGGCACAACAAAACCAACAAAACTCTGCTGCTAACAAAGTTTAAACTTCCGACCTGGTGAAGCGCTGTCAGTCCATCAATGTTGGCGTGGTTGATGTCAGCTCCCTGCCGGAGCAGCGTCGCCACCTCCTCTCGGTCTCCGGCGGAGCAAGCGGCCATAAACACAGCTCCTTGGGCGAACCGCACTTTGGCCCGTCGCGTCCCGGAGCCGCCGGAAGAAGAGGTCTGCTGCCGGGCCTCCGACGCCGTCCGGTCGGCCTCCGAGCCCAGCCACCGCTGGAGCTGGTCCTTCCGTCGCTGCTTGGCAGCTTCGGACCGGGAATGGTCTGTGGCCGCCATGTTCCCTGGTCTGTCCCGGGACAGATTCAGCTCCTTGTACGAGGAAAGTAGCAGACTGAGTGCGGTTTGTCTGTGGACGGAGCCACCCCCGAGATGCGCCACCTGGTGGACAAACGGTGAATGTGAAACCGCAAAACTTTTTACTGCGAACTTGTTGGCGCGCTGCCTTCACGGCCTGCTCGGATTTCGGGCTATTTTCACTGAARGGACGTCCTGTCTTTGTAAGATTTAAAAAACGTTTAATGCATTTATTTATTTAACTTAAAATTAAAACATCTGCACAAGTAGATCTTATCACTGCCCACAACACAGATTCAAAGACCATAAATCTGTTTAAAATGTTTTAAAGTTACTTAATGCAAACTAGAAAAGCAATACACTATAAAAACTACATAAAAACATTATAATCAAATACAGCAAATGTTTCTGTTTGAGACAGCGAAATAAAAATGCGTTAATAAAGCAGAAATTATAAAAAAACACATTTTACATGTACATCAAATAACAGCTGTTTTCCCCCACAGAATAATACATCAGCTTCAGCTTTAAGAATGTGCTTTAAAACCACAAATWTCTAGTGTTGAAGTCCAAATATTTGATGATTATAGAGGTCAGAGGTCGTAATTTTCCAAAATCAGTCACTGTATGCAAAAAACTGAAGCAGCTGTCAATGATCATTGCAGAATGTGTGTGTATGTGTGTGTGTGTTTTTCTTCTAGTCCAAAATTTTGAAAGGGAACCCAAACAATGACAAAAAAAAAAAAAAAAACTATTCAAAATTTTGGTGAAAATTATAATTATATACCCAGAGCTCATTTCTTTCAACTTTTATTCACAAGCATTAAAAAGTCACATTTTTAATGTATAGTACAGCCAGTACATAAGTATTTAAAGAGCTAAACTTATACAGGAGACAAAGTGCAAATTCAGTCAAATACATTCAAATGAAACTGATTCTCTGACTAGTCAAAAATCACACGTAATGTAAAATCAACTACATTTCAAAAAATCATTTCTAAGCAGCAATTAAAAACAATTACAACTACATTCAAAATGAGTTATAATTTACCTGTAAATTAAGGGGATAATACTTTCTGGTAAAATAATTGTTCAGACATTAGCATTGATACGCACACAGAAACAGACAAAAAGTGATATTTGTTTCACTGTAGTGCATTTACACTTGCATTTTTAAAATGGAGCACTGCCTTGTAACAAACCAACTCCAAGGTTTTTTTTTTTCCCTTTTTGTCCTGTTTCCTGTGATCCAGAAGCAGCTTAAGGCAGGAAAAAACACTTCTTCTCTCTCACTTTGACTGTGTTCCACTAACATCCTAAATACTTGCTTTTTTTTTTTTTTTTTTTAAATCATGTTATCTCAAGTCTAAGCGTACTTATGTAGATGTACTCCAGACTGACAGATTGTCAGAGACAGGCGTTTGGTCCAAAAACATGAGAGAAAACAGATCCTAAAATCTGATTCAGCTGCAATATCTCTGGATCTAATATGCTTGCAGTAGAAGCCTACCAGAAGCTCTTAGATCTGCTCAGAGGTTTACCAGGTTTGCCATCTCGTGGGACGTTAAAACAATCACTGCGCGCGGGGAAGTCCTGCTGAAAGAAGCTGAACGGGCGGCTGTTGTCTGGTGACGAGACGCCGGTGTTGAAGGAGCCTCGCAGGTCCATATTGATGCAGAGGACTCCGGACAGCAGCTGCCTCTTGTAGTGGTCGAGACGCTCGAAGACATCCTGGACCGAGGAGCCGCTCCTGTTCACCCAGGTGGGAAGCAGGCTGGTGGAGCTGGATCTGGGTGGGAGGGACCTGTAGTGGCGCAGCTCCAGCTGGCAGAACAACCTGTCAGGAGACGTTAGCCACATAAATGAATGATTGAAGAGTTAACTTAGTGGTAAGCAGGTAGCAGTGCTGTATAAAGTACCACAAAGTGATACTTGAGTAAAAGTACAAATATCTTACCAAAAGAGTACTTTGGTAAAAGTTAAAGTCTCCTTTAGGAATATTACTTGAGTAAAAGTACAAGTATCTTATAAAACTTACTTTGGTAAAAGTTAAAGTCTCCTTTAGGAATATTACTTGAGTAAAAGTCTTAAAGTATCTGATAGTTTTTGTACTTAAGCATTAAAAGTACCGAGTTAAAATGAGAAAGTAGATTTTACATAATGACATTTATTAGGAGGTGACCTCCTCAAAAAAAAGGCAGAAATGACTGTCATATTAAAAAAATGTTTAATTTATCAGTATGCTAAATTTAGGATTCACCGTTTTAATTTATATCAAGGCTGTCCAAACCTTTTCCCCAAAATAAAAATCTATCCAAGGGCTGTGGGCCAAATGCAATAATATAATTCATGAAATACAAATACTTCTTAAGTACAGTCCTTTTATTTTTAATGATTGAGCTAGCAGCCAGTGCAGTGGCCCACATTTTTGACGAAATGCAATACAGCCCCTTATATAGTCAGTGGGCCAATGAATGGAATGACTTTACATGGAAATACTGTGTTTCCATATAGGATGACAGATTACAACCTAGTAAACATGGCAACTGCTGGTGGGCCAAATCAAATGGCTTGGTGGGCCAGCTTTGGCCCACGGGCCCCACTTTGGGCACCTCTGATATATATCAACAGCTGACATAATTGATGACATATCCAGTTTATATTTATATAATATTTATATTAAGTACAAACTAATACAATATCAGAATTTTATATATTTATACTTTACACAATTTAATTTACTCTATCTAGAAGACACAATTTATATGGATAGTATTTATTTTTTTACAATAACGCACTGGAATGAAAACAAGCAAAAATGAAATAAAAGTAACAACTTTCTACTTCTTGCCTTTTTTTTAAACGTAAGGAGTAGAAAGTACAGATAATTGTGTGAAAATGTAAGAAGTGGAAGTAAAAAGTAGGCTGAAAAATAATTACTCAAGTAAAGTACAGATA